TTTGTTGAAGCACCTTTGGCAGCAATTATAGCCTCGAAGCTCCTATTTTCTTCGCAGAAGTTCAAAAGCTCAATCAGGCTGATGTTCCAGAGTGGTCCTGGAGCCACTCGTTTATTATCTTAGCTGTGTCTTAGGGTCATGTCCTGCTGGAAGATGAATCGTCACCCCAGTCCAAGGTCCAGAGTACTCTGGAGCAGGTTATCATCAAGGATGTCTCTGTACATTACTGCTTCATTATTCCCTTGACACTGACCAGTTCTTGCTGCCAAAAACATCCCCACAGCATGATGCTGTCACCACCATTATGCTTCACTGTAGGGATGGCATTGGCCAGATGGTGAGCGGTGCCTGGTTTCCTCCAGACATGACACTTGGTTTTCAGGCCAAAAAGTTCAGCCTTTGTTTCATCACACCTTTGTTTTTCATTGCCTTAGAGTGCTTCGGGTGCCTTTTGACAAACTCCAGGTGGGCTGTCATGTCCCCTTTACAAGTGGCATCTATTTGGCAACTCTACCATACAAACCTGATTGATAGAGTGCTGCAGAAAGGCTTGTCCATCTAGAAGGTTCTCTTCTCTTCACAAAGCAACAGTGTAGTTCTGTCAGAGTGACCACCAGGTTCTTAGCCATCTCCCTGGCTAATGCCCCAATCTACCCCAATTGCTCAGATTGGTTAGAAAGAGTCCTGGTTGTTCCACATTTCTTCCAGATTCACAGGTGATAGTGGCCACTGTGCTCAGTCAGACTTTCAGTGCTGCAGAAATTTTTCTGTATGGTTTCTGTCATGGTCCTGGGTCGTTGACCCAGCGTTTTGTGTTTATTCTGATTTGTATTAGTTTAGGGTTGAACCTGTAGTTTGGTGTATTGTCAGCCCTACCTGTGTCTGTCCTTGGTGCTCTGTTCATGTCCTCGTGTTGTGTTGTAAATCAGTCTGTGTTTCCTGTTTTACTTTGAAGGCTCGTGTTCTGGATTTCCTGTTCTGTTCTGAAGGTCTGTGTCTGTTGTCATGGTGTTCAGCTTGTCTCCTCCGGTCCTCATGTGTATTAGGTTCAGCTGTTCTTCCCTCCTGTGTGTGATTACCTGATTACCTTGTGTGTGTATATTTAGTGGGTGTCGGTCTGTGTTGGTTGTCGGCTCGTCTGCATTCATCCGTGTATTTCTGCGTATCTCTGCGTTATCTGCGTTCTATGGTGTTCCTTTCCTGTCTCTGCGTCTCTCTGCCCCGCACCCCTTTTGTATGGTCTCAGGTTTGTCATTTAGTTCTCCCAGTTTAGGTTTCTTCAGTTGTTTTGCCATGCCTCATTGCCTGTTTTGCTACTCCACCACTTGTAAATAAACACTCGTATCATCAGTTTGCTGCATTTTGGGTCCTCCTTTTCCTCCACACCACACGGCTCACTCCGCCAGCCGTGACAGTTTCCCTGATTTGTGTCTTGATGAAATTCTGTCTCAGAGGTGTAGAGACAATTTCTTGGACTTCATGGCTTGTTTTATGGTCTGACATATCATGTCTGACTTCATGACTTGTAGTGTGACTTTCCAAATCATATCCAGTCAACTGAATTTACCACACAAATTATGCTCTAAAATGGCAAAATGTGGAACAAGTGAAGCATTGTGAATACTTTCTGGATGCACTGTATAGTGTTAAAGCCTTATGTGCAGCTCAGTAGAAATATCTAAACTATGTAAAGCCATCAAGTCCATGTTATTATAAACATTTTAAAGGGGATCATTATTGTTTTACAGACAGATGATTGATGGGTTTTAACGGGAGCTCAGTTGCGTTTAACACCCCAAGTTAAAGTTATGTACAACACTACATGATGCAATGATCTCAGTGTTGTGTTATCTAAAGAGCCCCCTTTTATTCTGTCATAAAGTAGAATATTAATACTTAAGTGTAAAGAAGAGATAATGAAAACTGAGTTTTTGAGAGACTTCAAGTAGACATGAAACATGTGTAAAGGTAAATTTACACCATGGAGCCCTACTTCAACTTTAAAGACTTATTTCTTAAATCTAGCTTCACAGACAGTGTTAACGTTTTTAAGAGCATGTTTCTATGGTCCTAGTTCCTAGTGATGTGCTCAGTTTAGTTTCTGTTAGGAAAGTCTTATTCCCCCTTTTTTAATTTGTTCTTTATTTTTTTGGTATGGTTGACCGTCAACCTCAATAAATGGCTTGTGCTCAGTGAGTTCATTCTTACATCCATGTATACGCTGCATTTGGCTGGCTGATTAATAACACTAGAAAAAGGTTTTGGGAAGCTAAAGCCTGGCATTAAAAATAGCATCTCTGCAGTTACCTCTATATTCTGCAGCTTGAGTCTTGCTGACGTTTTATTAGGGCTTGTAATGAATAACCCATGTTGTCATGTGTTAGACGCTTTGTCCATCCATCCATCCATCTTCTTCCACTTATCCGGGGTCGGCTTGCTCAGCCACCTCCTACAGCTTGTCCGGGGGAACACCAAGGCGTTCCTAGGCCAGCCGAGAGATATAATTTCTCCAGCGTGTTCTGGATCTGCCCAAGGCCTCCTCCCGGTGGGGTGGGGCATGCCGGAACACTTCACCCAGGGGGCGCCTAGCAGGCAACCTTGTCAGATGCCCGAACCACCTCAACTGGCTCGTTTCAATGTGAAGGAGCAGCAGCTCTACTCTGAGCCTGTCCCGGATGGTCGAACATCTCACCCTATCTCTAAGGGAGAGGCCAGCCACCTTTCAGAGGAAGCTCATTTCTGCCGCTTGTATCTGAAATCTCGTTCTTTTGGCCACTGCTCAAAGCTCATGACCATAGGTGGGGGTAGAGATGTAGATCGACTGGTAAATTGAGAGCTTCGCTTTTACGCTCAGCTCTCTCTTCACCACAACAGACCGGGACAGCATCCACATCGCTACGGCCGCAGCAACAATCCGTCTGTCGATCTCCCGCTCCTTTCTCCCGTCACTCATGAACAAGATCCCAAGATACTTAAACTCCTCCACTTGGGGCAGGAACTCGTCCCCAACGCGGAGTGGGCACTCCACCCTTTTCCGGCTGAGGACCATGGCCTGAGATTTGGAGGTGCTGATTCTCATTCCCACTGCTTCACACTCGGCTGCGAATCGTTCCAAGGCGAGCTGGAGGCCATCACCCGATGAAACCAACAGAACCACATCATCTGCGAAAAGCATAGATGATATTCTGAGGCCACCCAAGTGAAAGCCTTCCGCCACTTGGTTACGCCTAGATATCCTGTCCATAAAAATTATGAACAGGATCGGTGTCTTATCTAAATTTTGACATTGAAATATTAGTAGCTTACAACGTAGAGAACATTATTACATGCTCATACCAGCTCTTGTTTTTTGTATTCAAATGAGCACTAGTTAACTTTACTGAACAGCACGCTGAATAGTTCTTTTAACTTAAAATGACATTTCTGTAGTTGTTATCATTGCAGAAGAATACAGATTACATGTAAAGAACAAATTGGAAACAAAAACAACTGTTGTTAACAAATCCTCAATTTTATTCAAGTGTGAAGAAAAGCAGATTTTAGTTGAATGACAAGATGTGCTCTCACTAAAATGTGAGATGGAGCATCTGCAGTCACACTGTCAGTACCATGACCTTTAAACCCTCGAAAACATAATTCCTTAAATTACAGACAGCATCTCCAATCTGATGTGCTGATGGGTCTGTGTAGTGCAGAACTGAGTTAAGAATGGAGGTTTTAGTCTGATTGAAGCAGTCTGGGGAGAAAGAGTAAATGCCCTTTCAACTTGTTGGTAATGATAATGGCAGCAGGGTCTTAAATGTTTTATCTCCACCTTTCTCTCTGCAGCTCTGAGCTTAGCTTGAACAGGTGACACTGTTCCTCTCTCTTCAAATTGTTTAACAAGTCTTTGTTTAAGAAGGTACGGGAAACAACTATTTATTTAATATAAAGTACAGATAATATTGATTTGAAAGAACTGATACATTCAAGTAAATTAATTATTTATTCTCCATATTTGTTTGCTTGGCTGTAGATAAATCTGACAGTATCACACATGCAGCTGATCATTGCACCCCTACTGAGCTGGAATTAATCACTGAGTAATCTATCAAAAATATTGTTCTGTTTTCTTGCCTGCCACTAAGTAACTCCAAGCTTCAGTTCCCTCCACAGATTAATATAGGACTGAGGCCTGGAGACTGACTACGCCACTCAGTGCCCTTAATGTGCTTCTTCTATTGCCATTCCCTTGTTGCCTTAGCAGTGGGTTCTGGGTCACTATCATGCGGGAAGACTTATTCATGACCCAGGTCTTCCCGGCTGCAGTATCCAGACTGAAAGAGTAAAAAAACAAATTAAAAATCATACATGAAAAACTAAATGTAAGAAATCTTTAAACAAATTTTAAGGATGATTCAAGGGATGTTAAATGATTCACAAATAATCTAAGATGTATTAATACAAGGAAATGCAGAATCACATTGGTGCATATGTTTCACTGACAGCAGATAAAAGTGTGATGATTCATGTGCTGTCATATGTGAGTATCAGAGTAAAAATTTGACCAAGATAAAATAAATTTGGGTTGTATAGGTGTAATAGTTGGCGAATCATCATTCTTTTCTGTTTGCGCTCCTTTGTTTTATTACATTTTCCAATATTTTCTCTCCTCTTCCTATTATTATTCTTTTCTCTTTCATTTTGTTCACATTGTCATACAACACATATAAAGTAATAAATGAAATAACACTAAAAAGAAATGATTAACTAAAAAGATAAAAGTAGCACACGAACAACAGTGTATTCAGATCATAATTCTAATTGTGAAAGCTGCCAGACAGGACAGAGTTAAAAAGAAATCACATCATGTCCTTATATGAATATACATGAGTAGACTTTAAGACTGTAATAGAATTGTTTTGTAATAATTACCACCTCAGAAGGTTAAAATGAGGCTAGCCCTAGCAGTCTCAGTCTTGTTTATTAAATATTTGTTTTTCTCCCTCTGTCACTCTCAGGAGGGGTGTGCATTGCTCAGTCTCTGAAAATTCCTCGTGAGCCGAGACCTGGAGAGTTTGATAAGATAATCCTCCGTTTAGTGGAGACACCCAATGCCCGCGCTGTCATCATGTTCGCCAATGAAGACGACATTCGGTAAAGAAAAAGGTTATTTCTTGTGCATCTAACATGTATTCCAAGATCCTATTTAATTTGTACTTTATTATGATTATATGATTTTATGATACTACTAGTACAAAAAAGGGGAAAAACTATACTGTAAATGTTGAAAGAATTTCTTTACTTAAACATGATGAAAGACTTGAGTATGACTGTAGGAATGTGTTCACATAACTGGGCCAGCCATTAGTATAAAATAAAGTATTTTTACATGTGCATTAACATGAGTAGGACATGAAAATGTCATTCACTAATTGCAGATCTAAATCTTAATAAAAGCCTGAAGCTCATCTTTTTGATAAGCAGGGATAACAAACAAAAAGTCAGGTTTAATTTTAAGCTGATTCAGGACAAACATGAAAAACAAAAGTATTGGAAGAGTCTAAAACTTAGAAAAAGAGACAAAAGCTTAATGGAAGAGCTATCACTGAGGATGCACGTGTGTATCCTCTATCGAAATGATGCATGAAAGTGTCACGGTCATGGGTCAGTGACCCAGTGTTTCGAGTTTGCGTTGTTATTGAACTTTGATTTTGTCAGTATTTATTATTTCTAATATTTTGGTTTCTATGTTAGCGTTCTTAGTATTCTGGTTTTTCTCTCAGTGTTCCATGGATGCTCTGTGTCCCCCTGTCAGCTGTCTCTCCTTGTCAAATCCGCGTCTATGTGTTGTGTTTCCTGTTTTACTTTGTTGTCTAGTTTGGCTTCCTCTGGTCTTATTGTGTTTGATTACTCCCAAGTGTGCTCTCCTCCTGTGTCCCATTCCCCCATTATCCCTCAGTGTATTTTAGCCCTGTGTTTCTCTCAGTCAGTGTCGTGTCGTCCCCTCATGCTGTTTGGTTTTCCCTCTGTGTGCCTCGTCTCCAGGTTTCTTACTGTTTAGTATCAGTTTCTAGTTCAGTTTCGGTTTTTGGAAGTTTATCGTTTATGGAGTTTTTTTTGTTACTGGAATAAAAGCAGCCTCTTTGAGTTTACGCTTCTGTCTGAGTGGCCTTCATTCTGGGCCCTACACCCTGCCTGCCACAGCCGATTCATGACAGAAAGAGGCATACCGCCAAAAACTGACACCTTTCCTTTTATGGGCTGCTGTCACTCCCCCCTCCCAAGTGATGGTCAGCTCAATGAGCAGAACCCTCTTCTCCTCTATGTACCTGCAGCTGGATAGTGTAGTGGTATGACTACACACATTTGGAGCGGGAGTCACAAGTTTGATTCCCACCCTTTATCCAGTAAGAGTCCTGGCTAGACCCCCATGCTAAAAAACCAAGCCCTGCAATGGGTGCGGCTAGGTCTGCAGCCTGTTTGCAGCTCGGACTTCACTACATGTTGTACTCTGTATAATTGTGTATGTGACAAATAAAGGTTGTTGGTTTTACCACATGGCGAAATCAGATCAGAGAGTGGTTGTCCAGACCTTTCTCATAAAGACCAGGTCTTTCCTGAGGTCTACCAGCATTTGCCACCTTTTTACCTGGCTGCCAGTCGTGCTGCCAGGCTTCACAAATCCTTGTAGGGCATAATTGGCTGCTGGTTTGCAGTTTGCACAGTAGACAACTGTGCTTTTCTACTTTGTGATAGTGTGGAAGGCAAAGTACACCATGGACCAGTTACCAGTCTAAGAAAGATGGGAAACCAGATGGTGTGGGGGCTGCAGGAGACTCCAGCACAAATCTGAACTAAATAAGCAGTTATAGGATGTATGGAGGATGTATGCTATCTAGTATGTTAAAAGGGTTTGGAGTGAGAAAATACTTGTTAATTACCAGCTGCCATACATTAAATTATTCATAAAGCAATTATTTTTTTACACAAAAAATTAAAATAAATAAACTTACATTATTCCGTTAATAATTAACTACAAACATTATTTCCTCATTTCTTTCTTTGTAAAATAACAATTTAAATAACCAGTAAATTACATTAATAACAATGGTTGTTTAACAAACAGCTTCATCTGGGAAATTCTTTTATTTCCGAGTAGAGGGAATATTTTTATTTTATTTATTTATTTATTTTTTTAGTAGTTTTAGTTTAGATGAAGACAGTTTTTAGGCATCAAGCATGAAAGATCTGCAGCGTCTTGTTTTGTGGTGCTTTGGTTGTGTATGTCTTGTGCGTATACTTTCTTGATGTCTTTTTACGCTGCATGTTCATGCTACATACGAATAAAATATTGAATGAGAATTGGCTCCCTCTTCTCCCCTTTGACTGTCTCATCCGTCACCTGTGATGCTAAAAGGAGAATCCTGGATGCAGCAAAAAGCAACAATCTGACAGGTCACTTCCTGTGGGTGGGATCCGACAGCTGGGGGTCCAAGATCTCTCCGGTAGTCCAGCAGGAGCGGGTAGCCGAAGGCGCCATCACCATCCTTCCTAAGAGGGCATCTGTGGATGGTGAGGCCAGAAACAACCTTGACTTGACCAGATTTTCAGGATGTTTTGAAAGAAATCCTGATTTTAATTATGTTTTCCTTCTTTTGGTAGCATTTGACCGTTACTTCAAGAGTCGCTCTTTGTCCAATAACCGCAGGAACATATGGTTTGCTGAGTTCTGGGAGGAAAACTTTAGCTGTAAACTGGGCATGCATGGCAAGAGACCTGGCAGTCCCAAGAAATGTACAGGTATCTTTGTCTTTGTCATTATCAATGTACAATGACATTTATTCACACAATTGCACCAATAGCCCATAACACTATTGCATGAGAACACCATCACACATGTGACCTTAATAGATAGGATACACAAATCATTTCTCTTCTTCTTCCTTTCCTTTTCTTCTTAATCATATATTTTCATTTACCTCTATGACCCAGCTATGGGTTGAAGACATATATTTTCCTTTTTTTTTAATACTTTAGTAGTTTGAAGCTGATGTATGATTTTAGCCAAAGCAGATTTGACTGGGAAAAACTAATAATTTACTTCCTTGATGATGTTCTCAATACACAAATTAAAGAAAACACGTTTTTGCCTTATAAACACTTGTTTCTTCATACCAGAACACATGCAGTAATCTTCTCCCTAAAGTGGCAGCCTAAAGTCACATCATGGAAATCTAATGTTTTCCTGCACTCACTCTGATTTCAGAGGCCTAAAACAGGAAATAAAAAACAGGTACTTTCCATTTGTTACATTCCCTGATTTTAGGAAATGTGTTCAGAAATTTGCAGCCGTGCAAGGTCCAATATTTGAGTACACACTAATAAAATCTTAATCTTGCAAAACACAGCTGCAAGTGGCAATTTATGAAAAGTATATTTTTATATTTCATGCTTTAATGACATTTTTTCAATTTATATAAAAAAAAATTATGAAAAAATTTGAAAAAGTTTGATATATGAAGCTAAAATGTCATAGCAATAAAAAAAAAATGCTTTTCTAGATTCTTTTTGTTGGTGGTGGTGTTGTTATTGTTTTTTTTTTCTTTTTAAGGCCCAGACCAGCTGACTTGTTTTGAATACAGATAAAACCATGATAATCCTGCAAAGGCCCAGATTTGGAAAACACTAGTTTAAAAAACAACCTTACATTGGAAAAGACAACAGTTTGCTTTTTATCCCAAAAGACAAACAGAAGAAATCTGCTTGGGACTGCCATTAGCACTCAGCACTCCTAACCAGGAGTGCAGAGAGGAAAGAGGAGGAGAGAGCAGGGGAATACACACAACAAAAGACCCCAGATTCAGCCTGGGCCACTTCTACTTTGGCCTTAAGGCATATTGTACCTGCTCGCCCAGTGAACTAAACTCTCACCAAAAAAATTACGAATAAGGATTTTTTTTTTTTTTAGGTTCTGAAGACAAACAAAATGATTGCATAAAATTTGGACTCATTAACTGATAGTGAATCTGATCTGAAATGAGTTTTTGTTCTCGTTCCATGTCTCATGCAGCTGTTTGTTACATGAGAAGCCCTGAATCAGGACTGCAGGGAGACACTCAGCAGAGGTGCACTATCGGCTAAATCCCTTAAAAACTTGTCTGACACGCAAAACAGCATTTGTGGAGGTGTTTGGCTGAGTACAAACAAACAGAGTACCTCCAGCTGGAGATAGAAGTAAAACAGCAGAAGGCAATGTCAGCACTCTAGAAAAAGCTGCAGTGTTCCAACTGCTTCCCTGATAATGTTACCTGAGCTTTGATCAGGCTGCTGCTGTCGGGCAGATCTCAAAAGATTTTATTAGAAGTTCCAGATTGAGTTTTGGAGCTGCATCATCACACAGACAAAACAGCTGAGTTGGCAGGTCAGCAGTCTTATTTGTGTGTGTGTGTGCGTGCGTGTCGTGCGTGCGTGCGTCGTGCTGTGTGTGGTGTGTGTGTGTGTGCGTGTGTGGTCGTGGTGCGTGTGTGTGTGTGTGTGTGTGTGAGTGTGTGTGTGTGCGTAGTATCTTTGTCAGTGCTGTAAAGTGTTGAAAGACTAAATTGTACCAACATGAGTGTTGAGTGGTATGTGAGTATCAAACCTTCTTATTCTGAAAACTGATGGAACTGTATTGTGTGCAAAGAGCCTTGCTACCTAACAGTGGTAAAGCCCAAGGGGATGGGTGTCATCTTTGCACTTCATTAATTTGGCACTATCCATCCACTATAACACATGCTGTGTGGCACAGATGAAAGAGCAGAACTGCGTAGGTGCAGTTCTCACTTGTACAGACTGATGAGAGAGACACCAGGGACTTTATTTCCGACTTTGAGGATGAGGAAAAAGTAACTTTAGCTTTACCAGAGGGACAACACTGAATCATGCAGTGATGAGTGACTTAATGATTTAGCCTCATGTAATTAGTGATTATAGATAGGTATTAAGCTATTTCGGTATAAGCCATCACTCTCCTGAATTCTCGTTTATAATCCTGATCATAGCAGTCACAGCATTTTTCTTCTGAACCAGCTCCGGCAATGGTTTTAGTAGCACAGCAATGAGTTTGAGTTGTTGACATGGCCTCCAATTTCCCCTGAACTGTGATCTCTTCTGTAACAGGACTGCTTGCACTGAAAATGAAATTAGTTTATGATTGGATTTCATGTGCAAACTCAAGGCTGTTTCCAGATGCGTTGCTAAAAGTCAGAAGATAAAAACTAGTTAACAGAGTCTGGGACATGAATACAGGGTAAAGCTGTATTTCTGCTCCAAACCAAGAAACACTCCTTTTTGGGGGGTTTTGTCACTCACTGGACATTGAGCTCCTCAGTCCTGCGGATGCAAATCAGCTGAAATCAGGAGCTTTATGGTCTTTGTGGTTGCATCCGTTTGTGTCAGGAGACTGAAAGATAAAAACGACTTCACCATCAACTGTTTTCAATACATTGATTCTTCTCTGTTAACAGCTACTAATTGGTTTCTGTCACAACCAGAGTAACTGCAAACTACGTTCACACTGCAGGTCTTAATGCTCAGTTTCGATTTTTTGATCAAATCCGATTTTTTTGTCTGCTTGTTCACACTACAAATAAAATGCGACAGCAAACGCGCTCTAGTGTGAACGCTCAAAGCGGCCCGCATGCGCAAAATAAGACGTCACACACAACGCGCTCTGTTTAGACCCAGAGCAAACAGTATTGTTTGACTGATGGCCTTAATATAAAGACTTCGGACTTTACGTTTCCCAATTTTTGCTTTAAGTTATTTTGTTATTTACATAATAATGTAGATAACCTAATGATGATCCTTATTGCTGTTTTAGAGAGGAGCGGTGCTTCAAATGATAGTTACAGATTTCTGTCAGAATCTGCAGATTATACAGTACAAATAAAATGTTCACGTTTAATATGACATGACCATTCAAACAGCAGTCGCTTTCTAAAACATCAGATATGTATCAGATTCAGTACCACATACGAAAGTGACCCAGATCAGATTTGAAATTATCGGATTTGTGTCGTTCACTCTGTCATACGCAGGAGGTTGGGAAGCGCATCTGTAACCGTAAGGTCGCCGGTTCGATCCCCGGGCTCTCTGTCCTGGTCGTTGTGTCCTTGGGCAAGACACTTTGCCTACTGGTGTTGGCCAGAGGGGCAGATTGCGCGATATGGCAGCCTCGCTTCTGTCAGTCTGCCCCAGGGCAGCTGTGGCTACAACTGTAGCTTTCCTCCACCAGTGTGTGAATGTGAGAGTGAATGAATAATGGAATTGTAAAGCGCTTTGGGTGCCTTGAAAAGTGCTATATAAATCCAATCCAATCCATTATACCATGATTGGATATGGGTCGCATAGGGTCAAAAAAATCAGATTTGATGCGCTTTCCTTTTTCAAATATGTAGTGAAGTTTACTCACAGCTTTGCTCTTTGTTTTGATATAACAAATTTTAAATGTAAGTTTCTGTATAATCTTTAGCCAGGTCTTAATTTTTGTAAAATCCTGAATGAGATCACTTGAGGGGAAATGTGTTCAGTGTGTTCAAAACTTCAGTGTCCGTGTGATGTTCTATGAGAGGATTTGCTTATTAACTGTAATTAACTGGGCTAATTAGGAATAATCTGTTATGTCTGTCACCACCTCCTCTGAGCTCAACTCATGTGGTCAAGTGTGTCGCTCTTAAAAAGAAATTCATTCAAAAGCAAAGCATTTTTTCCCCAGCCTGCTTGGATGGGAGTATCTTCTTTCTATCCCATCTTTTACTTGAGTTTACACATTGGATAAAACAATTTTCCTTGAAATACCTTTAATAAACCTAATTTATGACACTTTCTTATTTTTTACCATTCAGTATGTAATTAGCTAAAATAAGTTTGCTGACTGGATTTTCTCAATGGTTTAATGTTGAGACTAATGCTTTCAAAGGTACAAAAACACTTTAAATTATACAAATTATACTTAAATTGTAAATGTAATTCTTAGAAGATATCAATCGTGTTTGAAATGCCATAAAACAATTCTTTGAAATCGTGCTGATTGCTGTTTTGCTCTGACTTAAAAAGAAGAAATACTGTCTTTATGGTATTTTAATTACAGCTGAAGGAAAAATAACAATGGGGTCATTGTAAGGTAGGAATTTAATAGGAGAACATGTTTTTCAGTTTTTTAATCATATTTGTATAAATACGTGGATTCTAAATGTGTCTTAAAATATGAAATATTTCTGTTCTTTGAAAAAAATTGCCAGTCAGTGATTTAGCAGAGGTGCTGTTTTTGTTTGTTTTCAAATACTAATACTAATATTAATGAATCTGTTAATATTTCTAATTCCATAGGAATATGAAGGGAGTTATTAAAGTCCAAATAAAGAAAAGACATTTCTTTATTCTAAAATTCTAAAATTCTGTTTAGAATTTTGTTACAAAATTCTAAACAGCCCTTAAACTGTGCAAGCTATCCAATAAAAATGTGCATATATTGAAATCATTTAATCTTTCCACTCCACTATAATATGATTAAAACACATCAATAATCTTTTGTTAATGGATAAATTAGGGGGGTTAATGAAAATGAAGGTATTCTGTTTGAAGTGTAGCACTGCAACAGAAACACATCACACTCACATGCTCAGATAAAAGCAGCTTTCAGCCAAATTACTTGACAGATGCTTTTCACAGGTGAGCTTGTCGTCTTCCCTGACATCTGAGAGCTGAACCTTTGCTGCCCCAGAGTTGTCTCTGATCTCTGTAGCCTCCAGTGCATGCATGGATTCTCTATCTGCCTGTCGTTGATTGCAATCTAGAATTACCATTCTGTTTGTTTTTGTGTGCGAGCTGAAGCAGCTTACAGAGAAGCTTGTTTAGATAATGGGAATGACCATGTTGTTTTCTAATTCAGGTTGTGAGATGCATGTTAGAGTAAGAGAGTGAAGCCTAATGTTATCCTAATACACATTTAAAGGACAAACTCAACACTTTGGCCATTTGTAGGGTAACATAAAAAAGCTGCTGCTGTCATGATTCGGCCGTGTGGCAGGCAGGAGGAGGACCCAAGATGCAGACTCACAGACACGGGGATAAACTTAAAGAACACAGCTTTAATGCTGGCACGGCAGAACACAGGAAATACAGAACTAACTGGGAAAAAGTAAACTAACACTCACAGGAAGATCCACACAACATGAGGGAGAACGCGACGCCGAACAGAGGGAGACGCAGACAGAAATACACAGAGGGTTAACGAGGAAAGTGGGAACACACGGGGAACACAGCTGACACAGATAACCATAACGAGACACTGACGGGAGACGGGCAGAGTCAAACAGGAAGTACAGAGGTTCAGACAGGAGGAGAGAGAGCACGGGGAAAAACACAGACATAACGGGCTGGGGAAACATGGAACAACCACAAAGGGAGACGAGGGCTCATAAATACAGAGAGGGCACACAGGGGGGAGAGAGAGCACGGGGAGAACTTAGACATAACGGGCAGAGGAAACATGGAATAAAACGTAAGGAGAGACGAAGGCTCACAGATACACAGAGGGGCACACAGGGGGTGAGAGTCACAAAGGGAAAGCACTCAGGGAACAACACAACAGGGCAACTCAGGAAACAGAGCCTAAACAGGGAACTGAAATACAAAGATACATAAAACTAAGAATACTGGGCCAACATGGCCCAGGACCATGACAGCTGCTGTGTTTTTACTTAGTGTACACAGATTATATTGAAGTTGCAAATATTAAATTAAATGCTGTTCATCAACTTTGATAGACTTAAATGATAACTTAGGGCACTAAAAACATCAGTGTTGTTCTTTTTATTCTACATTGTACACTTGAATGCACCAGCTTTTCCTGTTTTAAATTTACTCCTATTGCTATGATTATAATTTCAATCATTAGTCTGGCTATGTGCATCTTAAATTTCGATAATTATAGCTTCCCATATGGAAAAGATATATATAAATCTTATAAAGTTTGTATCTGTTGTGTATGAAAAGCATACAAGAGTGAAAACAGATATAAGATCCCTTGAAAAATTATATAAATGAAACTTGTATGTTTTGGATACTTACTAAAATAATATATGAAAGTAATGAGAAAGTGGCCACTTTCATGAGTAAATCATATAAGCCTTATATGATTCACTATATGAAGTAGGCCACATCTTATGCAAGTCTTTTATACGTTTTTACTATTTCTTTTCCATATGGGTTTACAGACTGTTCCTAGTTAATCAGATAGGTTAAAAAAAAAGTGTTGAATTTTAAAGTAACACGTTTTTTCGAACTCCTAGTGGACAAACTGTCAAACTTTTCTGTGTGGCAGGCAGGCAGGACCCGGAGGACAAGGCATAAAACTAAAAAATAGTTTTATTGCAAAGGCCTTATAAAAACACAATGAAAAACAAAACAGGTCAGAAGCAAAAGTATATAACCAAAAACTCTTCTAACCCTAACACACGAGAAGGAAGGACACAGCTAGAAGGGAGAACATGACCAAGAGCAAAAGGAAGACTGAGAATGTAGCTTCTCTATGTCGTTGTGAGAAGCTACATTCAAATTTTACTTTGATGATGTTGCACCGACTCTTCAAGTAAAGCGCTATACAAATACAGGCCATTTACCATTTACATTCTGTCAGTCTCGGTTGTTTGACATCCTGTGCTGTCTGCTCATCATTCATGGGTCAGCCATATAGATATGCAATCACTCTTTATCTGTAATTAGTCAGAGCAAATGTCTCCATTTGGACAGATCCTTCCTCTCTTGTCTGCCATCAAAATTAAATTGGATTTTTGAAGCTCCTGTTAATCCAACAAAGCCTTGTCTCTTGTCTATGGAGGGTCCAGTCCAATAGTTAGTCTTCCCCTCCTGTCTTTCTCTTTTCCTCTTTTCCTTTTTGGCGTGCACCAACATCATGGTGCAGCGTGCCTCTAGTAACACCAATAATTCTCTAGAAAATCTGGAAAAAACTTTGCATAATGTCTTCAAGAGACAGGAGGACAAAGGAGGGGGGAACAACTAAACTGTAGTGCCTCTTCACCTCACTGTACAATACCTTGTGCAATACTTTTGTTAATAGTCAACAGTGCAATAGACTCAATACTTGAAATGTGCAATTCACTTGTATTTTTATTTTTATTCCTATTTATTCTATTTATCCCCTTCGTATATTTTATTTATATTTGTCTCTGTATTTATATATGTGTGTGTATGTGTGTGTGTGTGTGTGTATATATATATAATATTCTGTAACTCTGTAACTTCGTCGGTGCTGTGCTTTTTTGGAAATCGAATTTCCCAGAGGAACCCACCCGAGGGATTAATAAAGTTCTATCTTATCTTATCTTATCTTATCTTATCTTATCTTATCTTATCTTATCTTATCTTCTTTGATTTATTTTTAAATCAACGAATGAGATCAGGTATCTTTTTATGTTAATGGCTTTATTAGAGGAAATGTTGCTCTTTTCATACTCCCATGATCTTTGTTAGTAACTTCTTGCCTAACGGAAAGGATGAGTGCCGTAACCTTTGGGTTTAAAAAAAGAGATCAAATAAAGAGGTGGGATGAGATTGACTCAGATATATATTAGTAAAGGTAGTTGAACAGTATTGTGCTTATTGCTTTGCTCTCTGGATGTGTGGTTTTTTTTTTTCTTTTCTTTTTTTCCCTGTGGAGCCTAAAGATGAATATGTCAGTGCTTTAGTTTCTTAGTCATTTTAATGTTGCTGCCCGAATGAAACCCACAGTGATATTTGTGGTCCTCAGTAAACAACTCCTTTTAAGGCATTTTCAATGACAGTTTTGACTTGCTTGATTTTTTTCAATGGAGTGGTACCAAAAAGACCAAGAACTTTGCCAAGGAAACCATTTAATCACAAATATGTACAGTTGGCACACAATAGAAAAACACTGGAAAAAGTGACACTATACATTTTTTAACATAGTAACTATTTTGCAAGTGGTGAATTTATTTTTTTACTCCTTACTTAAGAAAGTCATAATTCTGCTTAATCATATTTATGGTTTTATATAAAAAAAAACTTAAGTATCCTAAAGTCAAAGTATTAATTATGCAGAATGTTCTCTTTTTTATATATGATATTATTGGATGATAATTATTAAGTCATTTGTAAGTCAGTCATTCAAGTCATTACTTTAAGCAACCATTAGAAGGTCCAAAATAGACCCCAGCTGAGTTCCCCATTTAACCATAGTGGGTTCACTGAACTTTCAGCCTGTAATATATTTTATATGTTTGGTAATTTAAGTCGATCAACTTTGTTTCAGGGTTGGAGAAAGTTGGCCGTGACTCCATCTATGAACAAGAGGGGAAGGTGCAGTTTGTGATGGACGCCGTCTACGCGATGGCCCATGCTCTGCACCACATGCACCGTGAGCTCTGCCCAGGGTACCTTGGCCTGTGCCCTCGTATGACCAACATTGATGGAAGAGAGCTGCTGACCCATATCCACGCCGTCAACTTCAATGGTGAGACTTTGGAGTGATTCAAAATTCCATAGCCAAAGGTGAACACAATTCATTCTTGAGACCTGAAGATCTCAAATTTTTTCTTCTTTGTAACGGTATAAACAATGAAAGGTGGTGGATTGGCCAGATGCTAGTCGTTGTATAAAAAATAACTCTGTTGTTTGGTGGTGGCTATGGTGGAGCTTCCTCAGATTCAGTAAAATTAGCAAGTGGTGGAGGCCAGCAGGTGGATGAGGGAAAGGGGAGGCAGGAGGAGAGACCCAAGGCAGCCGCCGGTCCGAGTGTCAGGTGAACTGAACTTCAGGTAAGAAGGTATGACCTGCAGTCTATCTAAACCAAGTTTAGGTGGAGTTTATTTTCGTTGTGCTGACTTTTTACAGTCAGTTACAATAACTCGTACTGCGTACTAGCTAGCATGACGGAGTTTCTATACAGCTGGGGGGGTGCTTTGATTTTACTGATATCGTAGTGAACTTTATTTTATTCATAAGGTTAGTTAGTAGAGTTGCCAACCGTCCCGAAAAAAAAACGGAATCTCCCGTATTCAGAGAAAATATTACTCGTTTCGTGTTGAGGTGAAAAGGAACACAGTTTGTCCCGGACTTCAGCTAGAATGGAAAAAGACACAAAGCTGGAGTTATTCTGTCGTTCTGCTGTCAGCTGCCTCTTCTCCTCTCATTCTCTCCCCTCTCTCTCCTGTTTCTACTTCAATCATGAAACTGATCAAAGATCAGCTGATCGGCTTTTCTCTCTTGTTTGTTTATCGCCCACTTTGCGCCAGAAAGAAGAAACCGGCAGATGTAGCGCTAAACAACAGCAGCGCATTTAAGCTTGATAAGCTTTTGTTAGAATTAATTTATTTATCTAGTATCAGCTGATGTTGCTGGAGCCACAGCTGTAAAAGCTGCTGGTCATGATATCGGTTTGGATATGTGGTGAGAGGGAAACATGAAGATGAAACCAGGAGATGTCCTTACTGAATCATCAGAGCTGAACAGGTGATGGAGAAACAGGTTTACCTTTTAGGTGACATGAATGAGTTGAAGGGAAGTTATGAACTGTTTCTGAGAGACAAATAACACCAGGATCCTTTTTTTTATGTAGCTGACAGCTGGTAACTGTGCAGGGGCGGATCTAGCAAAGTTTTGCCAGGGGGCCAGGTAGGGCATTAACAGGGAAAGGGGGGCACAAAGAAATACTTTCTTATTCTCATTTAAAATGTCTTGCTTTTATTAAATACTTATCTTACTTATCTTACTTATCTTACAACCAAAGTTTTTATCTGACGTAAAATGTATAGAAATCATACATATAACATTGAAGCAGCTGGAATACATAGATGTGCGTGTTCATGGAGCTGCATTTTCACCTGCTGGACATCACTACCTGACAAGTTTAACTGTCTTCAGAACATTGCAGAGGCCTTATTGACAGTATTTGGCTCTACAAATCTGTGTGAGCAGATTTTCTCTCACATGAGTGTCCTCAGGTAGCCGTCTGAATGCTGGACACTTGGAGACCTGAGTCTCTGAGTGGGAGACTAGAGATCAGAGTGTATTAACAAACATGCCATATTGGCCCAGTTTATTTTTCTTATCATTGTTGTGAGGAGACCATAAATATCATTTGCATTTTCTGTTGTACAGTTCATTTGCTGTTATGGAGTTCTTGTTATGGATAAAAAGTCTTTTCTTGTTTCAAAATAGCTGATAACTATTCGCTGATAGCTGCCAACATCTGCGAACAAATACAATTCTATAAAGTGGTTCTATATAGTGTGTAACTGTTAACATAGAGCGTTATTAAATGTATTGCTAATGCAAACATATGGCACACTGACTTCTGAGGAAATTTTAGGGCGGAGGCTGTATTATGGGGTGACTTAATCTTTCCTAAATCTAGGTATTTTACAGGAAAGAACACACAAATTGTATTGCAAGTAATTTTAAGCACGGCATACAATTTTTAAGTATGACTTAAGTAATTTTACATACACCTTAGGTTATTTTAAGTACTATGTAAGTTCATGGTAAAGTAATTTATGTCCATTAGGTGAACAGAGGTTCTCTTAAAGCAAAAAAAAGAGTTTTTCTTTAAACGGAAAGTGATATTTAAATTGCTTACTGTCTTTCTATCTTGTGTTTTTCAAGCAAACATCTCCTTGTGTGTGCTAGGACCTACAAAAAACTAGTGTGAAATATCAAATTGAGTGGTAAAAATAATGACAAAAAAATCCATCCACTTGTTTAGCTGACCTATTGTCAGCTGTCTGGAGACAGCAGGGTCTAATCTGCTGATAATAAGTAACTGCGACAATACTACTACATATTACATATTTGGCTGCTCTCTAGCCATGTGCATAAAGTCTGATTAGCCCTATAATATACTAATACCTCACTCACCTATTCACACCCACAAGCACTTTTGTCTCTTCTTTTTCTACCTAAATGCTGTCTGTCTAACAATCACACATTCATTTGAGCAACTTCCGGAACTTCTCTTGCCGAAGGATATTTGGCTTGCCGGCAAACCACCAACCTTCCAATTTGTAGATGACCTGCTCTACCTCCTGAGCTAAAGCCACCTCATGATTCGAATAAACTTAAAAATCATGGACAAAAATGGAACATTTACTAAAGGTTGAGTGCAAAGGCGCAATGGCTGCTGGCTTACCAGCTGACATTCTGGGCAGGATGTGCACTATCAGCCCTGGATGCCCACCCTTAAAATGTTGCTGTTATTTCCTCCAGAGTATTTGTAGCGGGTGGCTGTAGCTCAGGTGGCAGAGCAGGTCAGCCACTAATCAGAAGGTCGGTGGTTCGATCCCAGGCTGCATCCTGGCTGCATGCCAAATATCCTTGGGCAAGATACTAACCCCATGTTTGCCTACTGGTGGTGGTCAGAGGGCCCGGTGGCGCCAGTGTCCGGCAGCCTCGCCTCTGTCAGTGCGCCCCAGGGTGGCTGTGGCTACAATGTAGCTTGCCATCACCAGTGTGTGAACGTGTGTGTGAATGGGTGGATGACTGAATGTAGTGTAAAGCGCTTTGGGGTCCTATGGACTAGAAAAGCGCTATACAAATGCAGGCCATTTACCATTTATTTCCAGCCGTAAGGATTTTTATGAATCACCTGGAATATCAGTTCCCAACAGCTTCTAAGAACTGCCCCCAACATCCCCATGCACACAAAGAATTTCCACACGCTATACCTCCAAAAATGTCTCGGGTTCAACATTGTATGTCCCTCCCAGACTGGGGGAACATGCTGGGATGCTGAAGATGTAAAACACCTGCCCCACCTCTATCAGTGCACACTCCCTGCGGAGATATCCCAGACACCCCCACCTCCAGCACTCCTGCCCCAGCATCTGTGTGACTCCCCATGAAATGGGTGAAGCGCCTGTAGCCACCAGCACCTGAGGAGGGGAAACAGATAAAAATGAGTTAGTAAGGCTCCATGGTAGTCTGTGACACCGGAGGTGGACTGAAGAGCCTTTTCCGGCCAGCGCTGGTTCATTTCCACTGGCAACTGTATCTACATGCTGAGCTGTTCCAAGACAATAAGCTCCAACAGCCACCTTTCCTCCTCCCTAGGGCCTGGCTGCATCTGCCTGGCTGCTGCATGGCCTGACTCTCTGAGCATTGGTGACGGGGTGATCCTTTGCCTCGATTCAGCACCCCTTGAACTGGCGCCGGTGATCTTCCAGGGTTGTGCCCCAGACAATCGAGAACACGCCTTCTCCATGGCTTGACGGTGATCGAGGAGGGGACCCAGAAAACTTGTAGATGTCATTTCAGGCAGGTTTACGTGGGTAATATCAGTTTAACTAAACCTGTTAAACATAAACCAGTCAGTTCACTGATGAAGCAAATTAACTGAATCGGTTAACTGTGAATTAATCTGCAGCCTCTAAAAACATCAACTCAGCTTAGCTTTGCAGCATCTATTATGCACCACCAATTAATCCTGGCTCACCAGTATATGGCCCATGTGTGATTTGTGCCTCAATTAGCTTCTTTTTATTGCAGTATAGACACACACAAACACTCATGTCACACATGTTTGAGGCTTTCTAATGGCTAATGGCCAATTCAGCCGTCTGCTCATTGTGCTTATTTTTAGAGGAGCGTCAGAAGGTTAATCGGAAAACTTGTCCTAATGTTAGTGCTCAGTGCAATGTAGCCATCTGTATGAGGCCTTTGTACCAACGTTCTGTTTGAACACATTTAGCTAAGCAAAGTAGAGAAGTGGGTGAGGGAGAAAGAGGGAGAGGTCAGGGAGATTCCCTCAGATTTAGTTGGACATTGGATGCGTATTAAAAATCAATAAGATCATTCTGATGTTTTAAAGCAGTGTGATTGACCCTGTGGAGCAGCAATCAGATTGGAATTGTGAGGGATGAGGAGAGATGTTTTAAGTGAGTGAACTGATGAATATGTGACAAGTGCATCTCCTGCTGCGACTTCACAAAAAAAGTGCAAAGCAAGGCATAAGGAGGAAACAAATAATTCAGCTGTTTTAGTGGACTTTTAATCTCAACAACAGACATTGTTGAAACAGACATCAGCTTCTCTTCAGTTTTATTAAGCTAAAATACAATTCTTTATACTCTACTTTGAACAAGACATCTTGAAAGATGTCTTTAGATCAAGACATCTGAAAGGAAAGCAGGAGGAAGCAGGAAAAAAAAAGGTCATGCTTTACCACCTGAGCCATGGCCATCCCCGAAGTGGATGTGGCTCAGGATGTTGTGTGAAGGTAGCAGAACAAATGTGAAAGCTGCAGACGAGTACACATTAAAGTCAGAGCAAGGATGTAGAAATACGAGCAGAGTGAATATATAGGTTCAGACTCATTATCACGCAGATGAATGGACGACCTGGCAAGCTTCAGCTGTAGCGGTTCCATAAAATCCAGATACCTTGCTGCACTGTGCTTCCTGGCAGTGTACTAAAAAAGATGCGGTCCTGTTGGATCCAGGTTGAACAGGAGAATTAATAAAGTATGAATATTTATGGTCAAATTCTCCAGAGATTAATTTCTTAAAAATAAATCTTGTTACATGTGTCAATGTCCATCAACACTTTGGTGTTGATATGATGGACTGATTTTTATTGAATGTATAATAGAGCTGATGCATCAAAACTTTTTAACTTTCCACCGTAATAGCTAAGTGCTGAGATCTAAAACCTTAGTTAGTTGTCACGTGATAAAAACTTACCAAAACTCATAGAAAACCAATCTGGACTCAACATTCTAGTATTGAAACGATCTTATTTTATGTGTAACCAATAGTACAAGTTGTTTTTGTTTGTTCACAGAATGTTTATTTGTAGTCTGTTTCTTATTGTGTTAAATGACAGAGATCACCAGTGAGTTATTGTGATTATCATGTTTTGAAGTGACGTGAAGTCAGGATGTTAATTCTGTATCAAAGCAGAGTCTGTGAAGTGAAGTGAAGGGAAGTGAAGTGAAGAAGTGAAGGGAAGTGGGGGAGGAGATAGGAGGTGGTGGAGGGGTGTTTGTACGTCTTGAGGCAAGCTGTGCTGATTCATCTCCGTAGTGATGTGTTATGGACTACTTTTATTCATGCTGAAGAAAGAAATCAGGACAGCATCGAATCAAACTGCCACCCACTCACTTTATTATGAATGTGAATTCTTTTGTTGTTGATGTTCTGCAAATTAACTTCTATCTTCTGCTCTTCCTCTTTCCAAATCTAAACTAATGTGCCTCGAGTCCCCAGTATTATTTACCCCACAGCAAGTAATCCAGCTCAACTGTATACTAACACCACAATACAGTAAATATAGCAGCTGCAAGAAAAATAGAGTGAATCCATTTAGTGAATCCAAGACTCTGAATGCTCTTCCTTAATGTATAAGCATTGGGATCTAGCATTTGGGTTTACAAATTATGCTTTAATATGCCAGTCAAAACTGTTTTTTTTTCTTTATACTTGTATATTCATATTACAAGCAACTATGAATGGCAACAACTCAGCTATGAAGTGCCCTACAAAATCACAGAATAGGGTCAGTGGATGCCAAGGTACAATCTCCAAAGTCAGTCGCTATAAACCTCCAAACTTGACGTTGCCTTCAGATTAGCTCCAAAACAGTGCATACAGAGCTTGAGGTTTTCATGGCCCATCAGCTGCATCCAAACCTTACATGACCAAGCACAATGCAAAGTGGTGCAGTGTTGTAAAGCACAATGCCAATAGACTCTAAACCACTGGGGACTTACTCTTGGGAGTGACAAATCACGCTTCTTTGTCTAGTAATCCGGTGGACTATGTGCAATGTAAGTCTGATTTTGATGTTCCCCCGGAGAACATCATTTGTCTGAAGGACTGATGGCATTTGCAACAATGCATCAGTGATGCATTGTTGCAAGTATATTTAATTTTTTTAAATTAAAATTTATGCATGCTGTATGCATTTTGTTCTTTCCTACACCAGCCAAAATACTGTCTTTGGTTATTAACATTTGAAATGATGAAGGCACTTGAAAAGTAACACAAAATTAGCTGCCTTTCCAGAAAAACACAAAAGCTTTTCAGAAGCACTTAAGGTTTGCATAAAACTCTGTTTACTCGTTTCCTCCCAGGCTTCTAGACTTTTGATTGGCCAACATTTCTACACAGCTAGGATTTGGTGTGTTCTTACAAACATTTGACTGCATTTTTGGCTTTTACGTGTGGGATTTGATTAAACAAAATTTTTTGACATAAAAATAGGGTACTAAGATTTTAGTTTAATTTTTGCTAATAATTAGTGGTATTTGAATTCCTGTTACAATGGATTACTTTGTGAGCATCAGCAAATCATCAATCAGGACATCTGGAGAACATTAAACTCCAAATTGCTTAAAACGTGCATATAAGTTATAAAATAAATATACAGTTAAAGATTTTAATTTTAAACTTGAGTATTTTCTGGCACTTTTTTATCAATACCCCTTTTTTAATTTAATCTGATATCTCTCTCTTTCCAAATTTACGCCTCTTTCCGCATATTAGGATAACTCTTTATCTTGTGTTTCCCTTTTCCATCAATTTCTGAAAACAGAATGTTCTGCTCTTTTTTGTTGCTTTGTTGCTTTGTTGCTTTGTTCAGGAAGTGCAGGGACTCCAGTCATCTTTAATGAGAATGGGGATGCTCCCGGACGCTATGACATCTTCCAATATCAGATCAACAACAGGTCGGTGGCAGAGTACAAGGTCATCGGGCACTGGACCAATCAGTTGCATCTAAATGTAAGGGCCGCTAACTTGCAAGGGGTATAAAACATGAAAATAACAAATATGCTCCCCAGTCAAGCGCAAAGAAAAAGTTTATGTGTTTCTCAATTTGATTCTTCGCACTGCATCAAGAAGAATCAGTATCTTATTTGATTGTGTTCTGTTTAGCTCTATCTAAAAACTGTTGCTGTGTGCAGTTCTATAATATATTTGAACTTTGATTTAGACCCAACTATGATGGTACAGAGTGCTTAGTTTCCTATTCCCTGTCCTTAGATGGAGGCCTTACAGTGGACAACTGGGGACTTGTCCCTTCCGGGTTCAGTATGCAGCCTGCCCTGCCTCACTGGTGAGAGGAAGAAAGTAGTAAAGGGTGTGCCGTGTTGCTGGCATTGTGAGCGCTGCGAGGGATACCACTTCCAGGCCAGTGAGTTCACCTGTGAGCTCTGTTCCTACGAGAAGAGACCCAACCAAAACCGTACTGGCTGCCAACCAATCCCCATCATCAAGCTAGAGTGGCACTCGCCCTGGGCAGTGGTGCCTGTCTTCATCTCTGTTCTAGGCATTATCGCTACAACCTTTATCATCGTAACCTTTATTCGCTACAATGACACACCCATTGTGCGTGCCTCAGGTCGGGAAGTGAGCTATGTCCTGCTGACAGGTATTTTCCTATGTTATATCATCACCTTCCCCATGATTGCTGCTCCTGATATTGTCGTCTGCTCCTTCCGCCGCATTTTCCTGGGCCTTGGAATGTGCTTCAGTTATGCTGCGCTGCTCACCAAGACTAACCGTATCCATCGCATCTTCGAACAGGGAAAGAAGGCAGTGACAGCACCACGCTTCATTTCGCCAGCCTCGCAGCTAGTTATTACTTTCTCACTCATCTCAGTTCAGCTGTTGGGTGTCCTCCTGTGGTTTGCTGCTGACCCACCACATACCTTTGTGGACTACGGGGAGCAGCGCACACAGGATCCTGAGAATGCACGGGGTGTCCTGAAGTGTGACATTTCTGACCTATCACTTATCTGCTCCTTGGGATATAGCATTCTCTTGATGGTCACATGCACTGTTTATGCTATCAAGACCCGAAGTGTGCCAGAGACCTTCAATGAAGCCAAACCCATTGGATTTACAATGTACACCACCTGTATTATCTGGCTTGCCTTCATCCCTATCTTCTTTGGCACAGCACAGTCAGCAGAGAGGGTGGGTGCACATCAGCATAATTCACCTTCATATTTATGTAATATTTACCCATCTAACAGCGTCTCCAAATAGAAACTAGACAAATCAGCAATGTCTAAATATGCTCTCACACATGCTGTGTGTATGCAAATGATAAATGACACAAGACCAGTTCATAGAAAATCAGAATGTATCTTATATTGGGCTTAGATAAAAACCTGTTAATTCATTCACTGCATGTAACAAGCTCTTTTTCCACCTGCCTTTATATCAACCGAAAAATCACAATGCCAGAATACCAGGTAAGTGTGACTTCTGTGTTCTGTGCCTGAGATGACCATAGTAAGGAGGATATCTCCTCTCCACCAGAAAAAAACTGTTTGAAACAGAGTGCTTAGAGCTTTTGCTGTTGATGTACAGGATCTGCTAGAATATCTACTGACATCATCTTCTGTAATTATAGGCCATTCTACTATTAATCACCATTAATTAATCATTAATCATTTAATTATATTTGGATTGAAAAATGGGAAATATAGTGAGATATGCCAAGGTTCGACTAATAGTTCTTTGTTGGCGCAAGAATGCTATTTTATGTCTTTCAAGATAAATGTGTTATCTTTGCTATTTTCTTAGATTCAACAGGCTGTGACTAAAGATAGAATTCAAAAGTTTTCTAATTTTTCTGCTATGTGTAACTACAATACTTGTTCACTGTCCTTTCATGCTTTAATGATTCATTGAAGCATGGGAAGACAGTGAGTTAACTGGCCTAAGAAAAAAGACATTCCTCTGAAAAGCACTGGATTTAAAATGAGTGAAAAAGGAGCCAATGTCCAAAGAAAAACTACACAGTGCTTTATACTGCTAAAAACAAACAAACAAAAAACATAGAACACTTTCAAGATGTATAATATCTTAACAAGAAAGAATTCATGTTGGATATCTAATATGATATGAACTGGATAACTTTAAAATGAAAAGATCCACACTTTTTTGATGAAAATGAAAATCAACTTACAGGGGGCTGAATTCAAATATACCCCCAAAATCAAGGTGAAAAAATTATGTAACTGCCTAGTCCATTTCCAAACTTTTCTTCACAACTCAAACTCAGAATGGTACTCAGTAGTTTGTATGGCCCCCATGTGCTTGTATGTATGCCTGATAATCTTGGGGCATGCCCCTAATAAGACAGTAGATGGTAGCCCCGGAGATCTCCCCCCAGATCTAGACCAGGTCATCGCTGAGTTCCTGGACAGTCTGAAAAGAAACTTGATGAAATTCCCGATACTAACCAGTCCTCTGTAGTTGGTGGAGATGAATGTGGCTTAGCCACCAACTAGATACCAATAAGATACTGTACACAGTAGAATAGAATAAAATACTATATACAATCGAATAAAATAGAACACAAATGCTATATACAATTTAGTATAATACAACGATGCCAGAAAAGAGTAATGCACTTAATGTTATTGCTATCCCAATGCAATTTCTCCAGGAACTGAAAATTCTAATTATTATTATTGTTATTCATGATTTTTCAAATTTACATCCATCCATTCATCCATCCATCCTTCTTCCTCCACTTATCCTGGCCACCTGGTCTCCTTCTCCCTGGCCACCCCCTCCAGCTTGTCCGGGGGAACAGCAAGGTGTTCCCAGGCCAGCCGAGAGATATAATCTCTCCAGCATGTCATGAGTCTGCCCCGGGGTCTCCTCCCGGTGAGACATGCCCAGAACACCTCCCTCAGGAGGCATCCTTGTCAGATACCCAAACCACCTCAACTGGCTCCTTTTGATGTGGAGGAGCAACAGCTCTACTCTGAGCCCGTCCTGGATGGCCATCCTTCTCACCCTATCTCTAAGGGAGAGGCCAGCCAGCACTTTTGGCCATGGCCTCAGATTTGGAGGTGCTGATTCTCATTCCCACCGCTTCAAACTCAGCTGCAAACCGATCCAGTGCGAGCTGGAGGCCATCACCCAATGAAGCCAACAGAACCAAATTATCTGCAAAAAGCAGAGATGAAATTCTGAAACCATCAAAGTGAAAGCCTTCCACCACTTGGCTATGCCTAGAAATTCTGTCCGTAAAAATTACGAACAGAATTGTGACAAAGGGCAGCATCCGTTAGGGCTCCAGCAGAGCCCTGGCACCCTCAAGTATCCTTGAGAGGGTAAAGAGTTGGTCCAGTGTTCTGGGACCAGGATGAAAACCGTTTTGTTCTTCCTATATCTGAGGTTTGACTAACTGACAGACTCTCCTTACCAGCACTCTTGCATAGACTTTCCCAGGGAGGCTGACAAGCGTGATCCCCCTATAGCTGAAGCACACCGGTACCCCTTCTTAAAGATAGGATACACCATCCTGATCTGGCAGTCCATAGGTACCGCCACAGATCTCTATACAACATTGTAGAGGCGTGTCAACTAAGACAGACCTACAGGCCTTCAGGAACCCAAAGAAAACCTCATCCACCCCCAGGGGTCCTGCCACCAAGGTTTTGGTTAACTTCCTCACTGACCTCACTCCTCATGATGGATGGGTTGTCCCCCTCATCCTCAGACTCTGCTTTCTCTACAGAAGACGTGTCAGTGGGATTGTGCCACGATTAGTCGACTTGTCATGATTACATCGACGATCAAAATTGTCGGCGACTAATTTAATAGTCGACGTGTCGTTTGAAGCTTTGTAAGATCCTGAAAGACGCAGGAATAAGTAGTAGGATTTAAGAGTGTAATAACGGACTGAAACAGAAGATGGCAGCACTGCATGTACAAGGATGCCAGCTGCCCTTAAACCCAGAAGAGAAAGAAGCAGTCTCCAAGATCGTAGCTGTCCAAATTCAGGGGCTGCATCCTCCGGAGGCTGCATTTGTTGGCCGATTGCGTTACAGCGATGCGAAAGCTGTCCAAATTCGAAGACACTTCCAAATGCGGCCGACAAATGCGTCCTTCATTTCCCCAGATTTGAAGGTGTCACTACCTGATCTGTACCGAAAGGAAATCAGGTCAGGTGTATCCTTCAAGGCCCAGCATATCTCAGAATTTATAGTGCAGCCCAGCCAATTCCAGTTTCAAACAATGGCGGCAGCTACTTAGTTTAAATATTATTCTTATTACTCTTTCTGGGTCACAAAATAAACTTATAAGATATTTTCAGGCAAGAATGTAGCTGTGCAAACTTCAAATATCTGCTCAGTTTATCAAGACATCACATATTTGAAAAAGTGCTCCAACGTTTTCGGAGACGTCTGTTACCCACCAGCTCGATAGCTAGCTGGGGTTCAAGGCACACTAGAGCCAGCGAGAACAGCAAACTCTTGGCACATCATTTTCAGACCCCCGCAGTCTTTCGCTACTCAGGTTAAACATGATATATAAGTCACTTAGATAACTTAAAAAATGTTATTGTTTGGCTTTTTTCAGTGTTTTATTTGTTCCTGAGTAAATTGGTTTGGCTGAGATTAAAGTTATAGTTTTCACACAGCTGAATAATCGTCAAACAGAAAACTGATTAAACAGAAGTGTGAGATGGTCCAGAGTTTACTCCAATGTCCTGTTACATTTTAGATAGAAAGGAGCAGACGGCTGAGTTTATTAAACTCCACCGAGACAATCTGCAAATTTCATTAAAAGTTTAATAAACTTTCGTCTGGTCTTTATTTTTAGTTAGCACGTACCTTAAACACTTAAAGCTGTAAGCTAATGATAGTTATATAAGAGCAGATGCATGC